GTATCAAGAAATACATTTTTAGCTTACTCTGCTATTTTCTAAGTATCTCATAAGAAATGTGCAAATGCTATAAAATCCCAACCCTGCTAATAATAATGTTTGTAACACCATTAATAACAAATACAAATAATACTAATAGGTTATAGGTATACTAACACTTTATGTTCTGCTGAGTTTGTATATTTTTTTATACTTTTCAGTTCAATTAGGTGTGTTGATGTGTTATCCCAAACCTAATAATGAAAAATTACCACCTACCATCCACCCACTATTATATATTATAAAAACAATACTGACACGACTGGCGCTTCAGTCGAGGTTAAATTATTAGTATATATCCGTAAAATATCACATAGGTACCTATATTAATTTCTAAAGTAGATTGAAAATTATCATTCAAACAAAAAATATAACTTTTTATTTTTCAGCATCACTTTATTCTTATCTCTAATAGATTAATGAGATTAATATTTTTTCGATTATATATTTTTATGCTTTAATTTATAGGTATTTAATATATTATTTTTGAGACATAAGATGAATATTGTTGAAATATATGTATTATACGTACTAAATGTTATTTTTATGTTGCATAATATACAAATGTGTATAACCTCTTGGTTCTTATATATTTTTACCTACCTATATTAAATAAAATAAAGTTCATAAACGTAAGAGAATACTTACAAATTAAACGATGATTTATTAATTAAGATTGAACTTAATATGATATTTTTTTCCATAATAGATATTACTAACAAAGTACAAACTGAACTAATGAACGTACATTTTTATTTACTATAACATATAAGTTGTTACGAAAACTTGATTTTATAAGAGATTGCAGTCTCTATCCATTATCAAACAAAATGCATTTCGGTCTTTTATAATTACAGATCACTCACTCAAACAAGTTTTATTTTTTGATAAAACGTTTCAAATATTTTTATAGGTAGGTATATAACATAAAATACTAGCAATTATATTTTACAGGCCGTTATTACAGTTTTTCATGTAGGCCAAAAATAATGCATTTTTAGACAATAATGCGGTACAGAAAAATAGTCCATATTATTATTATGATTGATGGCAATTTAGAAATACATATTTTTGGTCCGTGGCTACTAAACTGGATTATGAACAATCACGCCAAATGGTGCATATATTGAGTTGATTCTATAGGGCAAGTCATTTCGGATTGTTATAATATAGTTAAATAAAACTAAATTTTTTGCATTTAAAATTAATCTTCTAAAACAATAATTAAACGTTAACATTAATACTCAATTTTTTAATAAAATAATGATTTTTATTTTTTTGTTATGAATGCGTGTAAGTTACGAATTATAATATTTTGAAATAAGACATTTAAGTTAATGTACAGTGTGATTTCCCATGCATATGCACTCGTTCCCATTTTTCTTTAATAGTGCATATTTTATTAAAATTCTGATTTTCGGAATTTTCAACTATATTCTTATTGAGACCATCTTTTTAATTACTTTGATATTATACCTTTCACGATATCAACTTCTTTATTTTTAAATGAGAATTATAACTTGTTAAGTACATGATTTTTTTTTAAATGTGGATAGAGTTTGCTCTGGAATTAGTATTTTTGAGTTATTAAACTTTGTTTAATATAAGACTAATAAATAATTTACAGTAAAAATGAATGGTTCTTATTTGAAAAAAAAAAGTTGTATTGCCATTGAACACTTCAAATAAGTATAATCAAATACTTAAAAATTCCAAAATCAGAATTTGAGTAAATGTATATAATTATAGTATAATATGCGGGTTTGAGCTGAGAATTGCCCTATATAAATATTTATTGTACACTATACATCTATTATCTATTATACAGTATATTAAATATTTTTTACGTCTTATGCGTTTAATTTAAATTGGAGAATTATTATTATAGAATATAGCTCAGAATAAAATTGTCAGATAGAACTAATTCATTTTTAAGACTACATCTGTTTTGGCACATGTTAGTGCCACTTTGGCACATTAAATGGTTTATATAAACACCTCTATTACACCCTAATTCTCGGAATTATGGAGCACGTATGTGTCCTTTTTTGAATTATGATCGGGAGACACGTTTAGGGTAGAAACCACTAATAGTAATACTATAGTTTAAGTTTTAACTATTGAGTTCGTACTTATTGATATAATAATGACATAATGTTCATTTTTGCAGTTTTATTATTTGGGTTGCTAATAAATAAGGAAATTCAATATGTAATACATATATTTTTATTTTTTACTGGTATGGATTGTTGACTATTTAAATTTTAAAATTTTTATTATATACATATTTACCCAATTGATTTCGTACTAAATATTTAACATTTAAATGATATATTTTTAGTTAATTCCTGATTTTTATTAAATATATATTTATTGAAATGCATGTAATATCATGTACCTATTTATATTAATTTATTATAAATTCAAGTGATATAATATATTTTTGGTACCTATTTAATAATATGATAATAAATTATTATTGTATTAGTATATTTAATATTATTACCTATATTCTTTACTCTATGATTATTATTTATTACACATACCTATAACAATAATAAAACTTTCTTTATAACGTTTTGAATGGTTGATATATATTTTTCATTGAATTTTTACTATAGCTGATATATTCATTGTATAAGCATTTGTAAAAAAGAACATATTACAAAAAAAATGAATGAATTTACATAGAAGTATACATGAAATTTATTACACAACGATTTTTATATAAGTAATTTAAATTATTTTAATTTATTTAATGATTATTTTGTCTTATTAAGGAAGTTAATAACTATATATTCGTATTCATTTTTAATGTGTATAAACATTAGGACTAGATTAGTTTATTAACGATAATAAAATAAATATATTATTATATATATAGGTAATAGCATTGAGTATATAATATATATTGTACAATATAATATACTCAATGGTAATAGTGTTAATTTTTTTTAAAACAGGCATATAGGCTGCATTTAGTTAGTCTTAAACTATAACTTTAACTACATCGGTACTTCCTATTGTTTTTTTCTAAATCAGCATTTAATAATAATATCATTTTTTTTTCATATACATATATTCAATATTTATTGAATATATTTTATTCCGATACAACTTCAAAATATTTTAAGTCTACAATTTATAATAAAACAATTTAGTTTGGGTTAGGTTTATAGCATTCCGTTGATCTTATTGCTGCAGGTATAACCTTATTCGTATGCACTAAACGTATTATTACATCACCATAAACATATAATTTACTGTCTGTATTAAATTTTTAATAATTTTTGTTTATGATTTTGATTTTTAGATATTAATTATCAATACGAATGTGAATAGTGCATCAAACTGTTATGTTTTTTAAATCAATATAATAATTTTATTGTTAGTAAACTGGCTCTGAAATTTGTTTTATTTTTAAATCATGAAATACGTATCAATTTATTTTAAATACATATATTTATATTTCCGTTAAATAATTAAGTTAATTTTTTGGTAATTTTGGTTATTTAATTAATTTTATTATTAATTTTTACTAGTTGAAATGTATTTTTCGTGAGAGATTTCTTACTAACGACTTACCCAATATTATAGACTAGTATTATATAATATTATATCAATCAATATTGTATAATATTTAAAATAATTTAAAAGCATGTATGGTCGTATGGTATATAAAAGTAAAAAATGCATAAGCATTGTCTCAGCCTTTTAGACAACCTTATAAGCTTCAATGCTCATATGATTCACTTTAACTAATACCCAATAGGATTTTGGCCTTAGGGTGACGGACACTTGACTGTATACTAATATAATATACTATCATATTGTACCTAAAATAGAAAATTGTATCTACATTGTAAGTAAGTAACGCACACACTCACACACATGTATACACTATACAGTACAGTTTATGAACTATCGATTTTAGTGACACGGTACTATCGATTTTATTGATTTTAGAAGATAATATCGATAATAATTATATGGCTGACTTGCGTCCCCAAACAGGACGAAATTTACCGGTAAAATTTACTACCTGAAAAATATATTTTTTTTAGGACGCAAGTAACATGCAGCCCTGCATAGAGACTTTAACTGTCGTGTATGTTTAAGAAATCGTCAATACCTAGGTTTGTACGTTTGTCAATTCAGATGGTTTAATAAAGGTATTTTTTATTTACTCGCTAGATATATACTTCGATATAACCGCATCATTTTCACCACTATACAGGGAGGGAGGGGAGGTCTCTTCGCCATCTCCTTCTCATAAATTATTTTTTTTATACCGATGTTTAAATATTATGTTTATTATATTAATTTTGCCTTATTGCCCTATATAGATATGCTTGAGGACAGAATAATGTGTTGTACTTAAATTATTATTTTTTATTGAATACCTATTATTTTACAAAATATTTTTATTTTAAAAACGAGACAGGCCAAAGATATACATCTATTGATTTTAAAAATAAGATCAAAATAAAATCCAATTTTAATTTTAAAAAAAAAATATAAAAAATTATTCCGAAAAATTTCAACATAGGTCAAACGTGAAAATCTGAATATGTTTTTTATGGGGCCTATGTGGCTATGTACATACCAGCACCATATAGCTTCCTCACCAGACCTATATGCCACATAATATTTTGCATTCGATAGTCATCGTCGGTCTTCAATCACCTTCACAACGGTTGGTGACATCATCGTTCCCTTCGCCGGGTGGTTAGTGTTGACATCGGCCGGCAGGTCGCGCGTCATGTACCGAATAAAAATAACCCACGCCGCGTCCGACATTGGCCCCGTGCGTTGGTGCCGTCGCCCGTCGGCCGTCAGCCGTAGTCCGGTAGTCGTGCGTTCGTGCCCGCGTCCGATGCATCTACGCCGCGTTTGTGAAACGTTGAATGTAATAGTATAGTGCAGTGCATAGTATCATATTATTATAGTGTCGTATATTAATGTATTATTCGAGAAACGGAGACAGACTTCCCCGCCGACGTATCATTAATTTATGTCCTGCTTCGAATATTGTGTAAGTTCGTAGCGAGTTTGGACGAAAGGACGTCGTTGTTGAAGACGACCACCTGCAGTATATCGGATAATATTATAATCTATTGTGCGTCGTCGCCGAAATCTCCGTCGTATGCGTTGCTTACGTTCCCTCCCTCTATTTAGGTATCTGTTGACTTGGAGTCAATCTACGGTGTATGTACATTTTCTTCCCTTCTAAATTTACGACCCCGCAATATTCGTTCTCTTTCGATGTTATCACCGAAAAGTGAAAACAGCTCGTTTAATATGAACATAATATGAATATATGATATGACTATATGAGGTAACATCATACGGTCTTTGTACGTTTTTATTTTAACCAGGCAGGCACGTCCAGTGTATTTTCTGTCAGCCGAGATCTCAAGTGTGTATCACATTAAGTGGTATTTTTCAAGTGGTGTGTATGTTACACACTATACGTATACTATTGTCGTATATAATATTATATATGTTTAGGTTTAAGAAAAGGTAATTAAAATTAATTATTTTGAGGGTGTAGATACGATGATTATCGTGATTCGTGACTAAATATTAGTTTTGCTCAAATTTTGTATACTCAATCTTCATCGTTTGTATTTCAACAGATTTTGAATTCATGTCTCTTTTTGTTCTTTTACATCAATCTGTAGGAAGTTGACACAAAAACATAAGCATATAAACTATAAATATTATTTTTGATAGAGGTTTTTTCCATTATGTATTACGCTGTACACGATTTATAATGAGTCCGTCAACTAATGTTTTACATTAAGTGTAAATCAATACTTGAAGTTAATAAAATCTTAACCTAATAATATTATTTTCTTTTTTTATAATTTAAAACTGTGCCTGTCGTCCCTGCGTTTGTCTCAAATGTTTTAAGATTTTAATAGTAAAAATTAAAAAATATACTTTCCGCTGTAGTATAAATATATAATTAATAATTATGATAAAATATTGTTTAAGGTTATTATATGGGCCCCATTTAATTGTTCTAAACTTTTTTGCTCATATTTCTCAATATTTCCTGTGAAAGGTGCGGAACCGGTTTTCGCGTGACATTTCCATAGCGATTGAAACAAGGCGGCAAAACCCTAAACATTACTACAGCCGTCTAACCGTATTTGATTTACATGTTTACAAGTTCACTATCGTTTTCCAACAGCTGCTAGTGATTTTCATTTTGTCTTAACGTTTAACGACCGAAAGCTTTCAAATGTTATCTTTAATGTTCCTATGTCATATTTCCTATACCATTGTGTTATCATTCCAGTCATTGCAAACACGTGTCTCGGAAATTGTTCCACATGTATTTGTTTTACTTATCTGTTTATCGAGAACATATTATATTGCTTTAATGTACCATTTTAGTTACCTATATCACTCAATAGCAATGAAATTACATTTATTTTCGGATTAATAGTACCTATACATTTTGTTAAAGAATCTATATAAAGGTACTTAGAACATTGAGTATACTACCTATTACATTTTAATACATAATATATTATATTATACCTACATATTTTGTTCATCTAGATTAAATATTTTTTTTAATTATTGTTTACATATCATATTTTTTTAACTGAACATCTGATTATACAACGGTTTTATAGTTGTATAATTTTAATGCTATTTAGTGTCCTCTGTGCATCATTAAATTGGCTTAAGGGTCTTCGTAACAGACACAATCGATACTAATAAGTTATAAGTCAAGTTTTAAACTTTATTTCACATGAAATAAGAGCATTTGTCGAAACATTTATTTAGTATAATTATCATTTCTCTTGAATCAATACATTTTATTTTTACTAAGATTTTGTTTGATAAGGTATATCTTTAAAAAACAATAATTATTTATTGTTTTAATAAGTCATCAATTCACTATTATCTATTTATTGTCTATAATATTAATGTTAATCTTTTTTATTTTTAATTATGTCCAATAACCTTATTTGTTCTTATATATTTTATCTTTTCACATTCAACAAAAATGAATTAGTGGATCATAAAACATACTTGTTTTTTTAAAAGATTCTTATTCTAGCATTTATGTAGGTATTTTATCTGTTTGGTCGAATAAATACAATAGTCATACATTTCAAACCAAACCATTTTAGTGGCTTTCAAATTGTCGTTAGTAGTTTTTAAAAATAAATTAGAAAGTCCGAAGTCGTACTCATAATAATAATTCATGAATAACAAGGACGCTGGACCAGGATATTTGATATACGTATTGTTCCTCGAGGATTCGTTCCCTGGACGGCCCCTTTGGTTAATTGCGTGCAAAAATTAACAAAATTATCAACCTTTTGTTTTACAAGATCTAAACTAAGTAGGTACAAATTATTTTATCAATTGAAAAAAAGTAAAGTAACTTTTCGTAAACTTTAGGAATATGAAAATTAGTCTTGTAAGTGGCAAAATAATGATAGGTATGTAGGTCACCCGAAAATGTCAACAACATGCTTTATTATTGAATAATAACTGCAGATATTGTGACATTTTACTTTCCTACCTCTATTCAATAAGCAAACAATATACCAACATAAATAATTTTTTCGTTAACTAAGCTAAATGTTGGTGTACTATAGGCTAGGTTAAGTTCGATAGCACTATGTACAACATGTATCTATGTAATGGAGAAGTTATTGGTGGATTTGAGGCACACCTAATTAATTTCTATATATACGTAGGTAGGTATGTATATTGTATATCGTAATTTATATAATGATAACCGATATTTTATATTGCATTGCGAGGAACTATAATAATAAGGATAATATTTCTATAACTTTTTGTTTAACGGTGTTTCGTTTCGTTAAACTAATATTATTCAAGTATTATAATTCGGAGTTCTTTTTCCTTAATCTTTCGTTTTTTTTTTTGGACCATGTAAATTCGTGTTCTTCTATATTTTCTTTTATGTGAACCTGAACATAATTTCATGCTTGTGTACTTGTGTACATCCTTATAAAACCATAATCTTGATGCTGTGAGATGAAAAGTGTAGTTTACAATCTCAAGACTTTGTTTTTAAAAACCTTATATATAATAGTACGATGAAAAATGATTATAACTTATTCTTGAACGTTTATTGTAGAGCGCATAATGAGCACGGCATGTGTGCCCTTTGTGATTAACGAAGAATGAGCGCCTTTCTTTTGTCAATGGTTTAATTTTTGTTTCTGGTAATTCATGCGACCCATTATTATTTTTGTGCTTACGTACATACACCGTAGTTTTGACCGATAGAATATAATAATTTGTTAGACGTTATAACGACTCGACGCACGACGATGGCGACGACCAAAATAGAGAGAGACACTGCTGATTTGGACCAGATCCACTTCAGGACTTTTATATTTTCTCTTCACCTTTGTTTCTGCCAAAGTGTAAAATTCCATGCGTCCCTTTTACAGTTGTAAAATTTTGACATCGGCCATGAACTCGTGTTTCCCACCGTTGGCCGCTTTAACGCTGAAAGATAAACGCCGAAATTCCGCTTATTTGGAGACCACCGAAAATCAAACCAGTGGAAAACCTAACGTTATACAAGACATGGAAAATGTTTATATAAAGCAAATTGCTCATAATCTTAAGGTAAGAACCAAAAAGAATTTCCAAAAACAGTTTATTGCTCATGTACATGCATTGTTCTAGTGATGATATTGCTTCAACGGTTTAACGTATACCTATTTAAAATATATATATTTAGTATTATATTTTAACACATATATGTAAAAAAATCAGGTCTATTAAATCACATAATATACGATAAATCATCTAAGTGCATGTACAAAAAAGGGGAAAGTAAGGGTAATAGCCGGACAGTAGGTGTCGAGTGTACCTCGTCATTGAGTAAGTCACTGTAATGTATGTGTTAAATTTGAATTCCTTGATAAATCATTGCGTACGAAAAACGATTCTGAGCGAAGTCTGTCAGCCTATATAGGTACCTATAGGTATTGAATTATTGATATATTCAAATTGCTATTACAGTAATTTATTTTACTTAAGTACTAGTATTTGTATCATTGTAAAACAAAACATTCATCGCTCGGTTCAGAATCTAGAATGATATTTAAGGCAGTTAAAACGGTATCGCCGTGAAATTTATGTATGTATATAAATTATAAAATAAATATCATATAGACTGTATTAAACTTTACTATAATGAGTATAATTTCTAAATATAAAATCATTATCACTAAACACTTCCTACAGTAATTATACTGCTTATGAATGATTGTAATTATTATTTGCGAATTTTTTTTTTGCACAAGCGGTTTTACATAAATAATGATAAATAATTACTATAGGAAGTGTTTAGTGATAATGATTTTTAACTATACATACACACAAGCATATATATATAGTTTACTGTATCCCAAATAAATTGTGGTTTTAACATTATAGTTTTTGCATAAATCGTTCTATTTAGAGATTATAAATGTAAAATAATTCATATCATGGCAATTTAATAAATCATAATTTATGGTTACAAAACTTAAGTAGGATATTATATCAATTCATAAAGATTCATAATATTATTAACTTCCATAACTATTCTGATCATGACTAGTACAAAAAAAGGTGGTTCAAAGTAAATCAATCGACATCTTCATAATTACTTCGTGCAGCGTCTTGTTCCTTGTCTTGCAATATCAATGGATAATATTACAATTCCTCCTCCCGTCTATTAAATGTATTTAAATACACATATGATATGGTCTAAATATTGATCATCGTCTAACTTTATCACATCACAACCAAAATACTCACCTTACACTCTTTTCAATTATTTCTATGCTAATAATTGGTGTCATTATTGTATTATTGTGCGATTATTTTCAGAATTCGTTTTTACCATGTTTCAATTTGACATTAAATTTGTACGAACGGATAATATCAGAAACTACTGGACCCATTTCAATAAAAATCAGATCACTACATTCCTTGAGACTAAGGGTGTCTTAAGCTTTCCATCCTGTAGGTTGCTACTGGCTATAAGGTGGCTTTCACATGAATTTAATTTTGGCCAACGAAAATCAAATAATTTTTTTGTTTTTATAAGATAAAGTTGCCATAACGAGTTAAAGAACAATTTTTTTTTAAATAATAATAAAGAATATTTAATTACATTGTTATTGAATGTCAACGATATTGTCTCAAAAACTAGACCGATTTTGATGAACGTTTCAGCGATTGTTCTTAGAAATATATGGGAAATTTAGAGTAGTTTGAACTTTGAAACACGTTCGAAAATATACTAAGTGCAATTTATACAATCTCGGTCGAATTAGTTCAAAAACCGAGGTACATTGTTGCCGATTTGCTCGTTTACTGAAATGTACACTGTTATAGAATCGAGGTACACCGATATAATTCTTATTATATTTGTTAATTTTTCCCGGCCGATGTTTGGTTGTACATCAGATTATAGTATATTTTAATTTATTGTATATTTCCATTATTTTAAATCATAGTCTTATTATATGCAATTTCTGCATTTGCTAATTTACAAAATTAGTACAAAACTGTATTTTTTACTTGGTATCTACTATCTAATCTAGCATAATTGTTTCACAATAAAAATATTTATCAATAACCAGAATATACTATGTAGTAATCATTACTAAATACTAATTAACCGATATTCAAGTAAAACATTACTATGAAGATTATGATCATTGAAGTCACTATATATCGGTGATTTTTGCACTTGTTTGGTTTTTATTTTTTACATAAACATTATGATTAAGAAACGAGGGTAATAATTTATAATTTTACCAATAATAAGACTTCTTTTATCGTGTATTTCTGCGTGATAAATCGGATGGTTGGTTATGCATATTTACGAAATAGCACAAAGTTTTTTTTATCTGATTTTTTTTCTTAAAAAACTACCCATCTTTGTTTGCATATTTCTTAAACTGCAAAAAAAAAGATCTCGCTTCTCGAAAATAATAAATTATCATACATTATACATATATCTCGTTGTTCCCTCGCATAATAATTATAGTAATAATACGTCTTGTTCGCGGTATTTTTTTATACTTTTATAATTACGTATTAGATCTTTATTTTGTTGTCGTAATACCTCTCGTTTAGTGATCTATTTTTTTTTTTCGTTCGCGTCCACGCGGGTACGGTCCGGCCGAATTCGCCATGCCCGTAGTCATCGGCCTCAGAGTTCGTTAAATGATAATGGAAAAAAACCCGTTATGTTTCGAAAAACCATTATTATTATTATTACGCTTCATCGTCGTAGGTATATTTTGTATTATTATTGTTACATACGATCACACGAGTTGATCGCCACAGCCCTCGTACGGACACACAATATTTATAATCGTCGTCCATCGCCATACGTTATCGGCACAATGGGAAGGTTTCTGCGCTGGACAATGCGCCGCCGATTTCCCGGACGCGCGCCGCACTATAGGTACTCATAATATTATAGTCAGTCACCTCAGCGATAAACTCTCGTGACCGGAATCTCCGACGGCCAGCTTGCTGCAGCCGAATGCATATTATTATTATTGTTATCTTTGTTATTGTTGATATTATTATGATACAAAGTGTTTCATCGCCGCGGTGCCCGGAGTGTATATAATATATTATATACCTGCAGATATTAATAAATTATACAGAGCGATTACTTTTTATCGTGAATCAGCTAAAATAACTGGTAGAAAAATGTAAAATAGTATCCATGACTTCGTTTGATAAAAATTACTTGTTTAAGATATTGCCCGATGGTTTGCGATGAAAGAATCGGTCTGTGGCCTGTGCATATAGGCGCACGTATTAATTGTGTAGCTACCTTATATCAGTATATCACCTACAGTTTATTACGTGCCATTAATTTCTGTAATTTATTTTAAAATATGACCGGAATTATATTATTATATGTAATATGTATACAACGTAGTCCACAAACAAACCGTTATTATTAAATATTATATTGGACGGCGCGTATTCGATTTCCGTAACCGTTAATTAATACCATCAAATAATATCGTTTTTCCGCTGAAGTCTCTTCTGCACCGTTATCGCATTAGTAGGTATAATTTAATAATATAACCTATTTACTTTGCAAACTGATGCTCCTGTACAGATATTATTAAATGTATTGGGCGCAAATCAATTTTTTCTACTTTTTTGTGCGTGACACGGCATTAACCGCGAGTTTTTAAAATGTAGATATCTTGTACCTACGTATCACGTATGTATTATATAGTTGTTAGATAATATAAAATAATTAAAAACATAAAGTTGGTATCCAGAAGAAACTACATTTGTAGTTACTGTATTTGTATATAAATTGTAAATAATATACAGATGCCTATATTATATATTATACCTACATATAAATATTATATTTTTAATGTTAAAACACGTAGTCATTCATTATGTTCGAATAATGTTAAAAACCGGAAACTATATAGTGGCACCATCGTAATAACCGGTATTGAATATATATGGCAAATATGTAATAGTCACGCTAATAAAATATTTGATAAGAAATTTTTTTTCAACATATCCGATCACAAAAGCAGTTAAAATTGAATGTAATAATATAAGTAAAAACGAAAAGTACGTCTATATTATAGGCAGTCTGGCAGTAGGCACATTATGGTAATATTTTTGTGAATTTTACTTTTACTTAAGTAAATACTAAACTCTCGTAGTAATTACTTATGAGTTATGACTTATGAGTAATAACTTAACTACTAAGTACTAACTTATAAGTTATAACAATTATAATAGCCGATTGTAGAATTACGTGATGATTTTAATGATATATGTAGGTAATATAGTATTATTAAAAGTTTAAATACTACATAAATTAGGGATATGCAAATGTTATGCCACGTACAACCTTATTTGACAATTTCAATTTATCTCTAAGTAAATGTATTTATTTTATAGCCGATAGCATTTAATAATTCCAAATTTAATTATAACTTATATAATATGCCAAATATTTATTTTTACTAAATATTACAAAATGTTAACATTAATTAACATTACATAATGCATAATGTTTGAAGTCGTCATTTTTTTTATTTTTTTATAGCAACAATGAAGTTATTCAATTTTTAAAAATCTATGTATCTATCTAATGGCCTAATATTATAACAATAATATGTCGTTGGTATTCATTTTAGATATCAATTACTCATCTAGAAATCATACCTAACTTATTTCTTTACACGTTTCTGTTATATCCAGTCTCACTACTGCTTCCTACAATACTTTCCATTTGAGTTACACATGCAATGCACAAGTCCGAGGACTGAGATTGCATTCGCCCACGTCCAATTGTAACCATCTATTGTGCCGAATTATATGTGATACTCTTAATCGATGAAGACATATTATACACGTACTGAGCTAAATTATATGATTCTGTTCCGTCTTCCTTTTAGATGTAGGTTCCTATTTGAATTTTCGATAGATTTATTCCTAATGGTTGAAAAATAAAAATGGGCATTAAATATACATTTTGGTTTTTGTTCAGCCCTGCTGTAATTAAATAACAGATTGTGTACAATTAAATCATACAATTAAATGATAATAGAATTTGCTTCATTTAGTGCTAGCATATTAAGGAGTAATTATTGTATCCACAATAAATTTGTGCGGACCGTTTCCGAACCATCTCCGTTTATATATAATTATTATTAACACACTCGTTTGCATTAATTAATCAAAAAAATAACTGATGTTGGTGAGTCATGTGTGGCATATTGCCCAGTCACAGTTACAGTGGTAGACATCGAATAAATGGTAAAACATATATCTTCTCTATAGGCGAAAAAAACAAATAGAATCAGTTCTAAAAGTACCATTTTGTCTCTTATTACAAATCCTAATTTCCGTTCTGTTCAAAAATATATGTACATCTCATCAATAATTTCATTATTAAACCTTTAACTGTTTTATAAATTGTATGTGTTGTGCATGTGAAAAAAAAACTTCTCCAGTGTCTTTGTATCTGACACGTTTTTCCAATATTATTTTACTGTTATTGCGATCTATATTCAAGTTTACGGCAATTGATGGTAAATAAATTAGTTTACTATTTCATTTTTCTTATATTCATTATTTTTTCTATACAAATAACTCAAATGTATGTCAATTTTTAACCTAAATAGGTACTTATTAATATTATTTTCAGTCATTTTTAAATTACTGTTAATAAATTAAGCATATTTTATCATGTCCACACCTTCACATTTTTACATTCAGTTAAAATAATTTAATAAAATAAATTATATTATAAATTAACTATTACATTTATATATAAATGATTCATCATTAATTTATTGTTATTACGTTTTTGAACCGTTAAAATATATTATAATACATTTTGTTTAATACTGTTTTTCCTCTTATTTTAAAGTGAACTATGATCATATAGATAAAATTAACTGTTTTTAATATCGTTATTTGAATAACAAACGAAAATAAACCCAAGCTAATCAAAATATTTTATGTAATTCCATATTATAGTAGGTACCTATTAGGTATATCTAAGTAGGTAGGTATTGAATCTTAAAAATACAATAATTAGACGTAACTAGATGTAATTAAATAATTTCAATAAATTTACAATCTGCAAACTAATTTTATGTTGAACCTGAATAAAAACACAGAAAACACTATTAAGATGATCGTGACACAAACACAATTTATCAATTGCAGTTAGCAACTATTGTGTGCCAATTATAATATGTAGTTTAAAGTAATTCGATTTTTCTGTCCTTCTATGTTCATCTACCTACTATAAATGTGTTAGTTATATTTTTATTAAGGTTAGTTCTCCTTAGTCCTTAGTATAATAATTTGTATTACAAACTAACCAGCGTCCAGTCATAAAATCTTAAATGAGAAGGAAAAATGAGTTTTTCTAAAGTGCGTACTTGTGAGACAATATCACTGATATTATTTTTGATTATTTATTACTTGTCGCTCTTTATCCATAAAAAAACACAGAATAAAAAGTGAAAATTCGTATGGTTTTTTTCTCATTACACTTCTGTATGGATTAAACTGTGTATAGTATACCTATATAAAGTGCCACCCTTCTATTTTTCAAGTAGAGTCGTGGTGCCACACGTGTTTTGAGTTTTAATCATATGCGTACCTACATACAAAGAGCCCACAGATGTTATTGTAGACACGTGCCTAGACGAACAGGATACCGGTGTCGGCGCTTTTACTTCCTGTAACCGTATCTATATATCCTTCTTATTTCTGTGGACCACCCTATTCTTACGGGATGTTCACTATGCTCAGAAAGATAAAATACGGGAATATTGTTTATAGTTTGTACCTATACATTATATTTGTTGTATATTTTTGTCTGTGGGAAATTAATAAATGCACATATCATCCCAATTTTAGTTACAAATGTATATTGTTTAAAACCCGTCGTGTATGGGAGTTTGTAAATGTAAATTATAAAAAATATATACTATTTTTGCTATTGGTATTTGTTTACCTAGTTAATTGTTTTTAAAAAGTTAAGACAGGATGTTTTAGAATAAAATAATATATATATATTCTTTTATTTTAAAATTAAATCTTTTTTATGTACCTATCGATTTTTGAAAAAAATATAAATCTATATAGGTAGTACACATTTTTTAAATAATTGTAGTCACAAATAATAATATATTAAGCTATAATTGTTATAACTTGATTATAACTAGGTATTCTTAGGCATTATAAAAGTATTTATGTCAGATGTCCCTAATAAAAATATTAGGTCATTATAAACTATTACTTGCCTTAAAATAATAACTAATAAGTAATAAGGTACTTAATTATATACTATGTTATACATAAATTATACAGCATTATATTATACATTTAATTTCACACTGTTATAACATGCATATTCTTACAATAAAATTGTTTCTAGTACCTATATGCATGCTTTGACTGGTGTGTTATTGTTATATATTATATTATATTAATTTTTAGTTTACCTTCCACGCTGTCCACGGTATAGTGGCCATTGGAAGTAATTATTTGCTATACATTTATGACCTGATTGGTTATATATCAATGTAATATAAGTATAATATTTAAAGCTATGTATATTGAAATAGCCTTTAGTATCAACTATTAACAGCTAACTTCCTACTCTGACCTTTTCATTCTATATGTACGAAAATATCCAGTTGAATTTATCCTCGACAATTTGTTTGTTGCAGTGTGCAACTATATCCTTTGACCTTTAACGAACACGCTATACTATTATTTCTACTTACCAACATTGCGTATAGTATGTTATGTGTGGTAGACTAGCCGACGTCAATGTTTTTTATATAATATATGTACTACGGTACTTATATAATACATTATTACATTAATGTATCAATGGTCATTGTGATTGTGATTCTTATTGTTATATCTACTCGGAAACGTACTATTCTTCCCTTTTAAGGGTAATTAATAACATGTGTTTTTTTTTTAATTTACGAAATATTAGCGACTCACAACTATATTTACTTGATGTACGTGTGCTAAAAAAATATCACGTACGAATCATTAAAAGTAAGTTATAAAATGGTTTCTGTACAATCGAACCTGGGAAATTCAGAAATTGAATTTTTTACACACGCTATTCGTGTTTTTTTTATTCGTTTTCAACCTATTAAAACTATGGTGTACTGTGATTATGTTTATTTATGGTGACATAAAAGCGTTATTTAAAAATTGGCTGGCTTGACACAAATCTTTAGATACGCAGTTTTTTTTTTTTCGTCTATTTAAACTATAACCGTGCGATGTATTTGGGATACGTCGTATGAGTTATGACTATAGTATAGCAATTTCCGTAGCCCGGAACACATATATAGAGGTGATTGGTGAATGAAATATTATGTTTCGTTATCGATGTGCAGCGTTGATTGTTGCTCCATTTATTTTGTTAAGTTCATTGCACGCGTTCGTTTATTTTTTTCTACATACATAATTTGTGTGATTTATTTTTGTTACTTCGAGCAGGACTACGAATTGGAACAAAAAATGGAATTTGAGATGAAAATGCGTGAGGGCACGACACGACTCCTTGCCGCCTGCAAACATCAAACGCAATCGTTGCAGGCCGCCAAGAGCTTGTTGACGTCTAACGAAAGGATGACCGCTTACATCGCCGAATTGCACCGGAAGAGCCGAGAACCCCCACAGTGAGTTGACTAATCATATATATTACTATAACATCGACGAGGCAATCGTATACAACCGAACGGTTTTCTGTAATTGTTTTTACTATAGGATTGGATGGAACGGTGGAAAGGCTCGGGTGTCGCTTTCGGACTTACGACTCCCGCTGATGTGGCGGGACACGGACCATTTCAAGAATAAAGGTGACTACCGGCGATTTGCAGTGTTCTGTTTGGCTAAAATCGGTACTCAACTGTACGATACCAGCCTCATGTTCCCGGTTGACAGATCCATGACCGACGTTACGTTTAACGACGTATTGCTCTTGTGAGTCGCGCGCTTTTAAAGTCTCTCAAAAATGTCCACATTTTTATTTTCATTTATTTACTGTTGCAGTGAAAACGTCGGGCCTGATTTCAAACTCGACTTGGAAGTATACGCCCATGTACTGCGCGACGACTTTTCGATTGCGAGCACTCCAAGGAAAATTAAGAACACATTGCACAGTTCCATAAGCCGCACGGTTGGTAAAAAGTTGGCTGCCACGTTGAGAGATGAACTGAATAGTGGTAAAATGTAAGTTTTGAACATTTTATACAGGTGTTTTATTTTTGAATCAGTAATCTATATTGCATTATAACTCATTTTCAGTGGACCTAATTTTGAACTAATGGCATCAGCTAAACTGACTTTAGAAGAAGTGGATGACAGAGTACATACGCATGATATGAAAATTGAGAGCACTCGTAAGTAGAACAAAACAACATAATAAAGTTTGCTGACAATATATTATATAATGTTTTTAATGACTAATAATGATTTTATGATTTTATGCCAGCAGAAAACCGTAATAATCAGTTACCTCTGTTTGGTCATTTTTGTTGTCGGTTGGCTGCACAACCCCAGTGTATATCGTCCCCGGTATATTCAGGGTGTGTACGGCCACGAGATGAATCTTCTTCATGGGCCAACCTCCAAGCATTTGAACTGTCTATATGGTCAACAGAAGAAGAAGCAAAATCTCAACCACCCCAGAAAACATTTCGTGTTGATAGGGTATAATACGTTAATCAATGTGATCAAATTAGAAGTAATTGTTGGGAAAAAATCAAAAACCTCTATAAATGACCAACGAATAAAGTGTATAATGATCACACCTATAATTTAAAATTGATAGATTTCATGAACTATACATTAATTACATTAGCCAATACTAAAGCAGAGGCTTGCACCCAAATCATTAATTTTTGTTTTGGTGTTTACACACACTGAAATAAAAAATGTAAACAAACATTCTGGTGCTCATAACATTTATTACATTTTGGTTGGTATAGATGAAGTATTCCATGCTAAGACTACGTTTGAAAACTTAATTTAGGAATTTATTAAAGAATTAAATATTAATATGATATAAATTAATATAATCTATGATTATTTATATTGTTATCACAATATTGGATATTATATTTCAATATCCATTTATATATTTACCTAGACAAAACACGGTTTATTTCACTTAAGAGTTACAACATATTCTATGCTATATTTTTTATTATTATTAAAAAACAACCTACCAATTTGAATTAAATTCGAAAAATACACACCAGATATGTATCAAATGAAAATTGTATTGTAGAAATTATAAGGTTTTTGGGTTATCTAACATAGATGTTTCATTAGATTTGGATTTTAATTAATATAGGTGTTTGAAAAAAACTTTTGGGTTATATTGGTTTTTAATGTTTAGATTTTTATGATTGTCATAAGTTCTGGTTAATACAGATGTATAGTACCGACTAAAAGATTAATTTGATGAAAGAATGATTCTAATTTTACTATGAAAAAAATATTTGAAATTAATCATGTTTTGTTAGACTATTATAGTTAAAATGCAATCATTGTCCATGATTAATTTTACTTTTTATTTTTTATTAATTATAAATGTATTATTTTAAATTATTATTTTACTGTATACCTTAAGGGGTGCCTTTGCCTTAAAGATATTCACAAATTCAATAATATATTTATTGAAATTTATCAGGTTTAAATCAGATATTTATTTATTTAAACTATTGAGTGAATACGGACTGGTACTTTATATAATCCTTATAAACATTTATTACCGGTTTTATCAATTTTTGTTCCAACAATAAATGACAAGTGTATACTGATACTACAATATAAATATTTGTTTTGTCAGAATAACAGTAAGTCGAGCTCTGAGATCAATAATGAATTGATATCCAACGAGTCTGAAAAGCGAACAGTATCGTTTATATTTTCAGTAGAAAATGGTGAGGAGAAGGGCAACGGCTAAAATTTAGTTCAGCTACCAAAGAACACTACAAGTAAGGTGTATTCAGACAGCCACTAGATGATCTTTAAATTTAATGTATTTTTCTTAGATGGAAAAAAGCAGCTGAAAATGTCATGGAAGTACAGTTGTTAGAAACTAACAGGCATTCATTTGTTAAGCCAGAACGACAAGGGCACTTTAATGATGAAACTCCACTTTTTTGTAAACTTACTCATCAATTATTGTAATATAATTTCTGTTTATATTTGTTTGAATGGCCAGGCAAGTTAGGTATTTTTTTTTTTTAACCTGTTAACCTAATTTATATAGAAAAATGTAAGTTAAGTTTAAAGTTAGAAGTTACTTTCCTTTTTTATAACTTGTAAAAGTTATAAGTTAATTAGAAAATAAAAGTCGGTTACTTTTTTTTCATATAAAATTAATAATTATTACTTTTTAAAAGCCAACAAATAACATAGTAATTTATAAGAGGTCTTGAAGTTTAAATAAAGGTATGTATTAATTGCTGTAAGTACTTATGTACTTTAATACTTAAATCAAGACAAATATAACAAAATAGATAAATTAATTTTTATGTTTTTGTTTACCTAACAGTACACAACAAGGTATTCAATTTATAGTAACCAAATTTATTATTAGTATATGATTAATTACTTATAATTATAATACAAACCACATTATCCAATATTATTAATTCAGCTGGTAGTTTCTACGAAAAATAAAAATATATAATCAATATTAGTATATATATAATTATTGAGTATACAAACGTATTTGGGATACTGAGTAAATAATTATATTTTTCTTTTTCTCAATGACTTGGTTACCCCTATAACTTTTCTGTTTATAATATATTATATAATAATTATATTCAGTGAATATGCATAGTATAAATTATTGTAATAGTTTATCACTTATATCATTGATATTTTAATGATTGTTATTGTGTGTTAAAAATTAATTTTTACAAAATAGAATACATTATTTTTTAAATCTGTTGTTTAGGAAAAAAATTAACTTAACATGATAATACAATTAATAACAGAACTTTATAAGTTATTTCATTACATGGAAATATTTAACTCATTAACTTAGAAGTTACCTCTTAAGAAAAAGTAACTCGTTATGTACTTAATTTAACTTTTTAACTTGTTAATACCCAGCATTGACCTATTGTCTTCTATAAATATAGCTCTTGTAGGTATTGAAATATCTAAACTTATGTAGTATAAATGTTTGAACTAATATTTATAATTTAAAATCTTCATGATATTTTCAGTACCTACTTGGTTACGTATACATGTGTTAATTAAAATATGATTAAAATATTAAAATATGATATGATATTATAATATATTAAAATATGATTAAAATCGATTTAAAATATACCAAATAAATTTATCTTATACACATTAAAACCCTTAATAGTGGAATTTGATTACATCAAATAATCTGTTTGCCATACCATAACTATACATTTAATGAAAAACATAATTAATCAACACATTATAAACAGGTTTTATTATTCTTAAATTACTAAAAGTAAAAGTAAAAGTATTCAATATTTTATGTTTAGAATCTTTTGACAAGCAGTCAAGATAGAACAGGCCTACTGTTATGGATTGTTTTCCAATGGAGGCCAAGTCTCTACTACCAGTCTTAGTTCATGTTCATCCACCGGTTCTATATCTCATAATCTACGCTCAAACTCATCCTCATCGTCATCATCGACTGTGAGCAGTAGTGGAACCCAACGACGATCACATTGGCCGTTTTCTAGGAAAACGTGATTAGCACACTAAGTTTCTATTTCTTAATTATGATGTACATACTGGAGTGGGCTACACCTTATTAAGATTCCTAGTTTTATACCCTTTTACCATTTTTGGACCTGCTTAATGTAAATTTTAAAAGTGCTTATTCTAATAATAATATTGCACTATTATTATTCATTTTATCTCTTTGTACCTATTCCTATGTGTACCATTTTATTGATTTTCCATTTTATTTTTATAGCATATTTTAATTTGAAGTATAGCCCTCTCTTATCAATGTGTCTTAAAGACTTAACAATAGTATTAATCTTAACTGTATAAAATGAATACTTTTTATTATTATTAGAATCATAAAAGAAGATTTTTTTATATTTTATTATCATTGTTTAATAATCTGAGATCGTTATATTCAAATGTGTCCCATTCATCACTATAATATATCCTATTTTTCGTGCTAAGTTAATTCTAAGCGTTTATATTAAATTCAATATAATTTGAAAGTAGTAGTTTAATTTAATGCAATAAGAATAATATAATAATAATGATATGAGTAATGACCATGTTTTTGTACTGATGATCATTAAATTGTTGTCAAGTATGTATAATTAGTAGTGCTATTTGTTAAGGCTGTACATTCTTACAACTTGTGTATAACATACAAGGACATTAAACATATTTATATTACATAAAATTCTGCTGTTATATCAAATATTATTAAATTAAGCCATTAAAGCAGACCACATTAATACCACTGATGGATGCAAAGCACCATTTCTAGTGGGAACACACCTTGTTTGAATATACAAATACCTATAATATATATGTCACTATACTACAGGATCTTTCAATAATATAAATACCTTCCAAGTTCTAGAGTATTATCAAATAAAAAGAAAATATTAACCATTAGAATATGTACATATGACATTAGGTCAACCGTTATGGTGTAATTAGGGATGCGCAATTTTTTTAAGTAATCGATATATCGATATATCGATAATGCAACTATCGATCTAATAATATTCTTTTTGAATATAAAACCGATATATCGATAATGCAATATCGATTGTACTAGTATTGTTAGAAGCTTCCATAATTGTATATTGAGTTAGCCTAACACGTTGGCTACCAGACATGATTTCAAAAATATTTTTGGCCACAATATCGACATGTCGACAATATCGATATTATTTGTGCATCCCTAGGTGTAATGTTGTCCACCAGGTAAATATTTGGTGGTGTGCTGTGCTCCGTGTCCGACTGACTGTTAACCAGAGCAACTATGCCACTATGACTATGGTATTGGACATCAATACATTATTTTCTACTAATGCATATTTTAAAAATCATGGTTAGCTTAAGTTTATTAATCAAGGCACACAACATAGTTTTCTAACCTCAATTGATTGATGCATCAGACTGAAGTTATAATTCCTATTGGCCACACTCCCATGGAGTATAGATCTACCTTTCACAGCCATGCCCATGAGTAAAAAATATACTAAACAGTACAATATTTTATATCAATGATGCTAAACTTATTGTAATTCATTCAAAATATTGTATAATATAGTATTATATTATATATTTTATTAAGTATTAGAAAAATTTAAATATATAATAAAATATTGATGTAATATATATTTATTAAAAAATAAAATATTGTTTCGTGCATGGGTACAAGACCGGTTATTTTTATAAAAATCAAGTATTTGAGTACAAATGATTAAAAAAAATGTATAGAAATTGTAATAAATATGGATGCAGAATTGCAATTAGCCATAAGTTGAGGACTAAAGCTTAGGGCACAGTATTAAGAACATCAAAATGAAGGTGCATTACAACAAGGTTTCATGTGTTAAGAAGTAGATTATTCTGTAACTAAAAAATGTAAAAACACAGTTTTTTTTTTTAAACTAGACAATTGTACAATCTATAATATAATGGTTTACAATAAGCACAAGTGATAAAAGAATAAGTTAAAGTATAGAAAAGACAAAATAATAGGCTAATGTACAAACAGGTTGAAATTACAATTATTTACATCAATTCAGACAGGGCCACAGAGTGAAGATACCATCCATTGATGGGACTTTGTGACATGTGGTGGTGGCGGTTAGTCTAAAGTAAATCACGACACCACGTTCGTTTTAGTCGCCTTCTAGGGTCACCAGGTACTGTGGGGGTGGGTAGTTCCGAGATCAAGGGATTGTGGAGATTGGCGTGCATGCGTTTGTAAAAAGACTTGGCAACGTTTTTTACTGTTTGGATGGATAGATCTTTATGCAGAGTATCATTAGAGACATTAAATGGGGCTTTAGTTATTTCTCGTAGGCATTTGGATTGAAAAGATTGAATTTTATTAATATTGGAGGGTTTGGCAGCATCCCATAATTGGATGCCATATGTTCATATTGGTTTGAGGAGTAATTTGTATAAGAGAAGTTTATTTTTAAGGTTTAGATGTTAGGAGAAAGCGTAATTGACGAGTTCGATCATTTAGAGCAAGCCGTTTTGTGTTAACTGGATATGCGTTGCCCAGGTTAGCCGGCGGTCTAGGTGAAGACCTAGGTAGCGAACGTTTTGGGCAGATGGAAGCGGAAGGAGATTAAGGTACACAGGAGGGCAAACAGCTTGCCGAAGCGTGAACGTACAGTGGACGGATTTGGTTTCAGTTATTTTAGTTATTTAATGTTCAAATTTGGGTGAAAATAAATAATATTAAATAACCAAAAATAACGGTTTTAGTTATTTTTTTGTAATTTTATAATAATAATTCAACTTACTGGCTACCGTATTAATAATTAGTAATAACTAATAAGTAATAACTATATAAATATAGTATAAAATATCCACACTGATAAACCATCAACCCTCACAATCATTTTTCGTATACAATGATATATCATTGAATTCAAATTTAATAGCATTCATTTTACAGTGACCCACTTGAAACCTACTGTATAGAAGAGCGACATCCATTTACCCACCTATTTTTAATTCCCAACTTTTTATTGCTTTCTTGCGGGAGGCCTTCAAAACATTGAATGTCAAACAATTGAACGTCAAAATATTGAACGATAAAATCTTGAACATAAATTTATGTCAACATCTTGAACATTCAAAAACTTGAACATCAAAACCTTGAACGTCGAAATCTTGAACAAAAAAATAGTTTTCGTCAAACCTTTGAACGTCAATATCTTGAACAAATAAATAGTTTCCGTCAAAACTTTGAATGTCAAAATCTTGAACAAAAAAATAGGTTTCGTCAAACCTTCGAACGTCAAAATCTTGAACAAAAAAGTAGTTTCCATCAAAGCTCTGAACGTCAATATCTTGAACAAAAAAATTGTTACCGTCAAAACCTTGAACACAAAAATTGTTTCGGTCAAAACCTTGGACATTAATACTTTTTATCGCAATTTGTTTTTCTCATGCTGTTCTAGATA